CTGGAATGGACATAACGCAAAAAGCTGAATATTTTCAGCTCTCTGCGTTGCAAGATGCCTCTATGTGTGAAAATGGCACGATGTAGGAAAATGGAAAAATAGACAAATACTCAATACTCAACCTATTTCCACACCATACCTCAATGATAGTCTCACCCAATATTCGCCTTTTTAGGATTGATTTTTCTCTTTAAAGAGCAATTTACTTCTCTGCCAGTACTCATGAATATTAATCGTTATTTAATTAATATTATTGTTGTGATTATTTCACTTCATTTCATGAGGAAGCACAAGCACAACCGAGGCAACTGAGTCAAAAATTCACGTTTAATTTCAGATTTCGCTTCACCAATCAGAATACGAAACGTAAAAAGCAAAACGTAAAAAGTTTGGTTGTGAACCCCGTTTAAGGCTATGCCTGAGGCTATGCCCTTATGCCCCTAACCCCTGAATCCGCCCCTGTCACTCAAACGACAACACTGGATATGGAGAAAGCCGCAACGCATGTACAATACACAATACCCCATAATTATCGAGAAAAATGTACCGTTGAAAATCTGAAAATGGAAATAATGGTATCGATACGATCGCTTTCGTACAAAAGTCACTTTCAGTATTTGGTCTCGTTTCTCACGCTCATCGAACCCCATCTCCAATGATGCCCAATGGGATTCGAGATACGCAGAGGTGTGTCTGATGTCGGATCAGCTGATGTGTACGCAGTGTACGGTGCTTCCATTTCAAAACGTGCCGTCTAGACAACGATCGAAATATTACAGGGTTCTCCAGCTTTGATCTGACAAACTCTTTTTTATCATGCATATTTTGTATTCCATTGGTAAAAGTAGTGTCGGGTTTTGAATTCCATTGGAAAACTGGTTCACATAGTATAGAGCTCAGTGCAACACGCACGAGCTCTAATAGGTCAGTGCAGTTTTGAAAATGGCGGAAACATTGAATATGCATAGTTTTGAAACATTATGGCAAATACAAAAATATGTCGAGACAAATAAGATATCCATTTTTTATGTTGAATACGGGAGCAGATTCGTTCCCGAAACGTCCAAAGATAAGTAAAAATTTGATATTTTTTTTATATACCTTTATTTCTCTTCTCCAAACCTTTTTCGATACGAATTGTCACTGACAAGCTAGTGAATTTTTCTTTTACGCTCTTTCATAGGAAAATTCTTCAAACGCAGTGACATTTTGGGGCAAATCATCTGATTTGTCCTTACTATACGTATATTGATATAATATTCATATATTTTCAATTTATAGAAACGAAGAGAGAAAATCCCAAAAAACATCTGGAATAATAAATGTTCAACCTCCTTAATTAACCCACATACAATATTTAATAAACGTTGATTTTTGTCGAAAACGATAACATTCAGAGCTTATGACCAAGAGTACCTGTTTTGTGTAGAAAACTCGGTAGAAAACATTTGCAGTTGAAATCTGTCGCTCAAAACCGAGCTCAAAACTACAGTTTTCCCATCAGAGGCGCAGAAGTTGGGGAGATAAACACCCACTACTTTTTCAAAATCTTCACCAATTATGACTTAAAAAAATGGAATCCACACGAAACATAGCTTATTATGAGTAGAAAATGCTTATACGGAAGCTGTTTTCTGTGCGATATACGATTCCAGAGATATTAGCAACAAAATTTATCTTTTTTTTCGAATTTTCACACCCTGTATCTCGAAAATGGTGCATTTTAGAGGATAGCTTAATAGAAACTTTTTTCATATTTTTGGAAGCGCCATCAAATCCTGAAGTCCTGCGCATATATTATGAGACACCCTGTATATTAAAGCATTACGCATATATTTTTACGTATAGGTAATGACAAAATTTGACAAATTATGCATTATATTTTCACTAGTGAAATGTGGTTTCGCATACACATGGTAATGCACGTGATATAGTAGAAACAACAGTAAACTGAGCTATTGTTTTAACTCGTGTCGAATCACATTCATCAATATTGAGAAAGTAACATTTCAATAGTATTTTTTTGTATGTTTTTTCTTCTTTTCTTATAAATAGATGTGGAATAGTATGTGTTCATACCCTATATATTATTCAATTTATTATTAGGGATAGATCTAAGAGCCATATTGGAGCAAAAAATTATATACCACTGTTGAAAAATTACTAACCTTTAAATACTAATCATACTTCTCATAGACGTAATATCAGCATCCGATTTCAATACGACTCTAACTTTATTCAAAATGACAATGATATCCATTTTACTTGATTTTTTGGAAATTTCTCTCCTCGTTTCTATAAAATAAAAACTCGAATAAAAATATGCATATTATTTCTCTCCTCGTTTCTATAAAATAAAAATATGCATATTATTTCAATATATTTGTAGTGGGACAAATCAGATGATTTGCCCCAAAATGTCACTGCGTTTAACAAATGTTTCTATCAGGGAGCCTAAAAGAAAAATCCAGTAGCTTGCCAGTGACAATTTGTTAGAAAAAATGTTTGAAGGAAAGAAATATAGATATACTGAAAAAATATCGAATTTTTACTCAACTTTGGCCGTTTCGGGACCGAATCTGCTCCCGTTCTCAACATGAAAATGCAAAATATTTCTCATTGGAAGTTGATGTGCTGCTTATAGTTTGACACTTTTCAGTGTCATACTGATGTTGGTATATGAATGAGAGATTTCAGTCTACAAATGAGTTACAGGATGTTTTCATTAATTGATCTTGAATCTACCATTTTCATGTTCCGTTTTCAGTAGTGAATACCATGTTCTATCTATATCAACTGAACAGGAAGCAATGTTATTGTCTCCGTTCAGAAGAATGCAAGCGGATTCCTTGATTTTTCTTCTTTGGTTGTTATTTTCCTTTCCTATGATATATCATTCCACTCCGCCATATGTTGTCCATTTTGAGTAAGGATAATTATGTTCAGTTAGCTTCGCTCGAGGCTTCGCTTTATCGATATGTCGTCTTTTCTTGATATTGTACTTGTGTTCTTTAGTCCTTACTGAGAGAGGTCATTTCGTTTCACCTGTATAATACTTTCCCTAAACGTCCAAAGATAAGTAAAAAGTCGATATTTTTTCAATATATCTATACAGGGTGAGTCATAACTATTGGGACATAGGCTAAGGGCGGATTGTTGACTTTTCATTTTCGTTTTTTGACAATGATTTCACTGTATATTCATCAATTGTTATAAAAATTTGCTCAGAGGCATAATTTGATACAGGGAATATTATTTTATGTACTATTCTACATTTTGATACAGGGGGCGCCACGTGAATAGTTCCTGATGATGAAATCGCCTGGTTACTTTTCTTGACGAAACTTTTGAGTGATTTTGATTGGGAAATTTGACCTAAACATCATTTCTACGTAATATTGGTACTTTTGTTTGAACACGATATTTTCATCCGTTTTCGAGAAAAACGCTATTGAACAGTTCAGAGTCTCAGAAGTTAATTACAAATATTATTTCATTCATGAAGATTGTGCTTTGAACTGTCAGATAATGTTGCTGGTAATGGCATTTCTTGACAGAGAATGAATTTTGGTGAGAGTTTATAGTCGAAATTTTTTCGATTGAAATAATGCATCGTCACAATCATTTCATGAATGAATAAATGCGGGATGCAGACAGAAGGTATGAATTGTAATATCTCTAATATCTAGGCAGAAAGCAACCAAATCACAGAATTTCCTCAAATATATTTCATATACAGTGAAATTATTAGCAAAAAATCGACAAAAAACGAAAAAAATCAACTTTAACGCCCTGTATCTCTTTTCACAGCAATATTTTATTGAGGCATGTTTGGTCCAATCGCCATATTTTGTTCCAAACAATCCTCCCTTAGCCTATGTCCCAATAGTTACTCACCCTGTATATCTTTCCATCAAACATTTTTTCAAAGAAATTGTGACTGACAAACTACTGGATTTATCTTTTAGGCTCCCTGATGAAAAAATTTGTTAAACGCAGTGATATTTTGGGGCAAAACATCTGATTTTAAATATTAGGTACTCTTCTATATGAAGTTTCGATCGCCAACGAAATTTGTATTTGTATTTCAATTTTGATCATTTTCTCTTCGCCAAATGTGTAGAGAACGTGTTCGAATATCTCACAAAAATAAAATAAAAAAATTTGACTAATATGGACAGTCAAATAGTCCCGTCTGTGAGACGTATGGTTAGTGACAATGTTATATATTTTGAACGTTAGTAGTTAAGGGCTAATATTGAATCCTTGCTTTATTCTGTAATTTTTAGATATGGATATGGAACAATTACAATACGTTGTTGTATCGATACTTTTCCGAAATGTTTTGTAATCTTTATTTAAAATTTCTTGAATAAAGATCATTATTATTATTATATTCTCGATTATATTATTATAATATTAGATGGTACCTATTGGACCAAATTTCGCATATTTGATTGCGAGATGAAAATAAATGCTTCTGCAACATATTATCACTTGCATGTGCATTTATGAAGATAATTCAATCAATGATTTCAGGGTGTCTTTCATACAGAGTGATTCAGATGAATTGTAAATAACAGAGCAATGCGGTATATTTTTGTTAAAAATGGATAAGTATTATAGGTATCTCCTCGGGTATCTCGGTAAGTATAGTATCCTCCACAAATATCGATATCTGCTGCGGAAATATATTTTATGAGTTGAATACGTAATTTTCTTATCTTATGCCAAAATGACAGAGAATATAAATGAAAGGTAGGTACTTAAAAAAATTAAGTATGGCTAACTCTTCTACTGCTACTATACAACCTGTAACGAATATTTTTCTACCTAATTATTTTATAAATAATAATTCAAAGTATGTTGTATAGGTAATTATTAAAAATTTAATTGATACATATATTACGATAGATAGGAGAAACATGATTGATGTTGTTTTATATTTATTAATTGTAAATTGGAATAGGTGTTAAATTAAAAGCGATTCATTAACTCACATCTTGATAAGGTAAGCCTCCATCCTGTCAACATATTCCTTCTTTCGTTATATAGCACAGCACTACGTATATTTTGATGACTGAAACTTATCTCCAAATCCCACTGTACACTAATTCCAAACCCTCTTCACCCCTCGTAATTTGAACTATCTCGAATATCACAGACTTACAGGGAAGGAAGTTGAAAGCAAGACTAAAAGCGCGCCTTTTGCAGCACTACTTTTATATTCGTGTTGCTTCATTCTTTATGAATGCGATACCTTCCTAAGTTCCTACTCGCGCTTACCGCAGGTGATAGCGTTCAATGAACAAATTCGTGTGCGTGTCGCCAATTCTTAATGAACTTTAGGCCTTGCGTACGAGCCTTAGGTACAGGGTATCCCAAATAACTTGGGCCACCCCCTTATCTGGTAAACTATTATATGTACAGAAAAAAGTTCAGAATAAAAATTGTATAACTTCTTATGACATTTGATTTTTAGATACTGTCATTTATACAAGATGATCCATATGTCTGTGACATATCACAAATACGTTTTTTCAAATGGAACACCCTATATTTCATCATATTTTCAGATAGTCCTTCAGAAGACGAGTTCAATGATATATAATAACATGGGTCTGAGATCACCCGTTTCGGATTTATACACGATCTTCTTCAATAAATTGTCTAATTTCAAAGCCCTATAGAAACGTTGTGAATGAAGTTTTCGATTCGCAACTTTTGCTGTATATTATTTTGTTCTATGGTGAAAATTTAGGAATTTTGAATTTGCCAAAAGTGATGACGTATTTTGAAAACCAATAATTTTCTCGAGATTTTCAAATGGAACACCCTATATTTCATTCCATATTTGCATAGAACTCAGGAAGACGAGTTCAATGATCTATAATAACATGGGTCTGATATCACCCGTTTCGGACTTATACACGATCTTCGGTCAAAACTACATTTCCTCTAGTTCTCTTATACGGTTTGAGAAAACCTTTTGTTCGGATATCGTTCTCTATTCTCTGAAATATTTTTTTGTTTGGTACGACACTTTGTGGAAAACGGTCACGATATTCTCTCAAAGCCAGCACAGTATTTCTGTTTTTCAATAAATAGCGCTCATAAAGATCAAATCTCTCTTATTTAGAATAAATATGCATTTTGAAAGAGTTTCTCTGCACCAATTCAACAATAAATAATCGGGTTTGACAGTTATTGATATGACATAAACAAAAATCCCATCTATGAGTGCACAGCCTACTCAGCTCTCGTTGGCATTTCATTCCACTTTGAGTTTTGGTTTTCTCTTCGATCATTTACTTATGTCCAGTAGTCCAGTGTTTATTCATTGAGAATTCAATGAAAAATGTTGAACAGTATGAAAGGTATACGATTTTTATGAGGAAATGACATTTATTGCAATGAATGCATCCGAATTGATAAGGCAGACAATCAAAAAAAATGTTTAAATATATTTTATTGATTGAATATTCCCGCATTGGTCTCGTATAGAGTCAAATGTAGGTGAAATTTAATTGTAATAACACCTGTGCTCAATCATTTCCAAAATGATTTCCAGTGAAATAATAGTATAACATTACATAAAAATTTTGATAATATTCGTTTATTTCAAAACTCTTCATTACGAATTGTTTCACAGAAATTACAAAAATTTTATTTTATATGAAGATAACAGTCAGAATTTTGCCATTGAAATTTGATTATTTTTTCGAGAAGATCGTGTATAAGTCCGAAACGGGTGATCTCAGACCCATATTATAATATATCATTGAACTCGTCATTCTGAGCTTCATCCAAAGATGGAATGAAATAGGGTGGTGTTCCATTCGAAAATTTGTAAAAAATTATCGTTTTTCAAAATACATCATCACTTTTGGCCAATGCGAAATTCATAAAATTTTACCATGGATCAAGAAAACATACAAAAATTTGTTAATTTATAGCGGGAACTGCGAATCGAAAACTTCATTCACAACGTTTCTATAGGGCTTTGAAATTGGGCAATTTATTGAAGAAGATCGTTTATAAGTCCAAAACGGGTGATATCAGACACATGTTATGATATATCATTGAACTTGTCTTCCTGAGCTCTATGCAAATTTGGAATGGAATATAGGGTGTTTCATTTGAAAATCTCGAGATATTTATTGGTTTTCAAAATACGTCATCACTTTTGGTAAATTGATAATTCCTAAATTTTCACCATAGAACAGAATAATATACAGACTTTGTTAATTTATAGCGGAAACTGCGAATCGAAAACTTCATTCGCAACGTTTCTATAGGGCTTCGAAATTTGGCAATTTATTGAAGAAGATCGTGTATAAATCCGAAACGGGTGATCTCAGACCCATGTTATTATGCATCATTGAACTCGTCTTCTCAAGTACTATATAAAAATATGATAAAATATAGGGTATTCTATTTGAAAAAACGTATGTGTGATAAGTCACAGACATATGGACCATCCTGTATAAATGAAAGTATCTAAAAAATAAATTTCATGAGAAGTAATACAACTTTTATCCTGAACTTTTTTCTGTATATATAATAGTTCACCGGATAAGGGGGTGGACCATGTTATGTGGGATACCCTGTACGCTACTCAAAGGCTATTATATTCCGAATGCAACTGGTCAGTTCTAGAGTCACTGGATGGTATATTAGTAAGATAAGAGTTCGAACACAGCTGAACATCTGTCCTTTTCTAGTTTCTATATCACAATGGTTTGATTCATAATAATAAGAATAAGACATATATTCTGCTCTTTATCTTTTCAATTCCCCTTGTAACGCCTGATTGTCAGATACGATTTCAGAGGTTAGATTTTCTGTCAAATCAATCATAGCCGTAGATGGAAAACATATACGTATCAATAAACAATACGGATCATAACGGGTGCCAGGATGAAGCCAAAAATATGAAACAAAAGAATATCCATAAGGATTTGGTGGCATGATACGCATGCGCCATGCGCTATTATAGTAGTCATCAAAGACATGCGTTTCGGTGGACAATGACGTTTACTAGCCTTTCAATCAAAGCAGTATGTGGCTGATCGTTTCAAAAGGTTTCCTTATGGATAGTCATTTGTCTTCAAAAATCGGCTTCATGTTTCGCTATCACGATGTATTCGCTATGGAAACAGATAGAGATTATCCGTATTGATTATTAATACGTATATGCATTTGGCTTGCACATCTGACAATGTGACGAAACACCATAGTCGTCCCGCCCGCTTTTTTTTAAATGGAATAATATACGGGGTGTTCTATTTAAAAAAAAATATTGCAGATGGCGCTCTGCCGCCATTTTAAAACTTTTGGCTTCGATTTTTTTCAGGAAAAAGTAGGTTTTTATGTCCCAATGAAGCCTTACAAATTTCGATGCAATATACCAGGTGGTTCAAAAATTAGTAAGGGGGGAACGGACTTTAGACGGGCACTGTATTTGCTGCCGGTTATTCGAACCCGGCCGATGGTCATCACTGTCATCAGATAATTTTTCAATGAGAAATTGGTTCGTGGTAGCATTTCAGCTCCCTACATGTGGTTCTAAATCCACTATAAACTGTAAGTTCTCTTTCACTTTAACTTTCACAAGCCAATCGAAGGCTTATGAGGGTTGCTTCGGCAGCCAAAGTGATAGGGTACAATATACAATACAATGAAATACACTAATTGTTATGAATACTGCTGTACGTATAGGAACCTTGTCACCATCAGATCTTAAGAATCTTGCAATTATGATTTCCATTATATCTACTATATAGTATAGTTATTAGGTGTATATAATAGTTTATCAATTGGATCTTTGACATCCCATTGTCCCTAATGTTGAATAAATATAAAAATCAATGTTTATAAGGCATATAGGTATATATATTGTTGTTCTGATTTTGTCATTTTTATTTCTGCTGAGTGTTATTGAATTGAGAGAATCGGAGGAAATTATATTGAAACAATTATATCTCTTCTATTTTTTTATATCCTAACAAAAAACAACTATATTTTCTTGGCTATATGTGATACCACGTAGAACACTTAAATTATCTTATATCTAATGAAGTGAAGAAATATCTGATGACGAAAATTTGCAATAGCCATCTCAGGAATTGATTATGAAAATTATCGATTCGAAATTGGAACACCCTGTTGTTCATTATTTGAAAATCTAATAGTTATTGTAGTTGAAATAGCACTACATCTCACATCTACCTACGGCTATGAACGATTTGACGAATAATATAACCCTCAAAATTGTTTCTGACAATCATTGATACTAGGGGAATTGAAAAGACAGAGCTCGATATATATGTCTTATTCCTTTATTCAATCATCAATGCATTTTTTGAAAACAGAAAAGGACAGAAGTATAGCTGTGTCCGGACTCTTGTCTAAGGTATATACAGGGACTCTAGTCAGTTCTAGAGTCACTGGATGGTATTAGTTTGATAAGAGTTCGGACACAGCTGAACTTTTGTCCTTTTCTATTTTCTATAATACAATGGTTTAAGTGAATAAAAGAATAAGACATATATTCTGCTCTTTGTCTTTTCAATTTCCCTAGTAGTGCCTGATTGTCAGATACGATTTTAGAGGTTATATTTTCTGTCAAATCAATCATAGCCGTAGATGGACAATGGAATTAGGGTACAAACACCCACTTCAATTCATAGTGATACACTTCTAGCAGAGCAAGATTTATATATATGAAAAAAAATGCATGTAACAACATTTTAATACCAGAGAATATATACATATGGATAAACTTATAGCTATAATTCCTTATTGTATGTGGAACTGTACTCTAGTGAAGTATTCCTGAGACAATTTTGAGAAATAAAGTCTATATAAGCTTGTGTCTGGAAATGCTTTATTTCGGAGAGAAAGGGTGTTGAAATACAGAGAACAAATCATTTTTCGATAAAGATTTCATGGGAGAAAAGTAATTTATTGTGACGAGACCTACCAAATACTTAGTTTTGTTAAGTTCTCAGCAACTTCACTTAGCGTCCTAG